GGGGGGGGGGGGGGGGAGGTATTGCAAGAAAGTCTTAAGGCGATCGTGATGGTCCATGGACAGTACTCGGGGCATTCAGTCAATCGGGATGTCGGGGTCCAAGGGCCCGGGGGAGTCGCAATGGCTGGGGGGGTTACCCAATGAGCAATTACCCGACAGCACGCTTGAGGAAGATTATTGCACGGGAAGAAGCACAGAGAAAGGCGGGAATGGTATCATGAAACTACTCATTCACTGATCTTCTTGGTCAGATGTGGAGGGGGGCATCGTAGGGTCCATCTTGAGACACATTACGTATACTTGGAGATACGGCTGGATGCTTCAAGCTTCAATAATCAAATTCAGCACAACACCGCGGTTCCAGTCTGCAACTATCGCCTCGTAGCTAAGATAACCTTCGCAGGCCAAGTTCCCTTGACCACATCGTCGCCAATGATCTCTTCCATCTCCTGCCACAGCTCCCCGAAATGCGGATCTTCCCTCGCAAACGGAAACGACAAGACATGCTCCTTCACACCCTCAAGCCCAGTCACAAAGCTCCACCCATCCTCCTGCACAAAGGTCTCGACATCGTCCACGCCCGCATAGACAGGCTCGTGGACCTGCACCTCCGGCGGCAAGGGCGCGGTGATGCCGCCGTTCTCCATGTTGAGGTAAACGCGCTGCGCCCGGGGCCGAAACAGCCCCTCGTCCAACGGGGCGACATTGTACTGGCCCTGCGTGCGGGCCATGACGGCAACCAGCTTCTGCGGATCATCGGCCTTGGCCAGCAGGGCGCGGCCGCCGGAATGGTTGATGCGAGTGTAGACGTCCTGGATGCGGGGGTCCTCGAACTGCGCCGCGCCAAAGGCCGCGCAGGCAAAAGTACCCCCGGGCCGGAGCTGGCGCGCGATCTCGCTCATCGCGAGCGGCTGGTCGCAGAAATGCAGGACGTTGGTCGCGAAGACCATGTCCACGCTGCCGGGGGCGATGTCGTCGCCCTCTTCGACCCGGGCTGCGCGGTAGCTGAACCCGTCCGTGCCCAAACGATCCTCGGCGAGGACCACGTTCTCCTGCGCGATGTCGGAGATGATGACATGGTGGAACTTGGAGCGCAGGATGTGTGCGTAGGGCCCGTTGCCGGCGCCGACATCGTGCACCGTCCCGAACTGGCCGCCGTGGGATTGGTGGTAGTTGAAGAGGCGCTGGAAGAAGACGTCGGGCGCGGAGGGGCGGCCTTTGAGGTAGTTGTTCCAGAAGGCTTGGCCTTTGTCGAAGAGTTTGTCATTCGAGTCAAAGGAGGGGACTGTGGCTGTTGCCATGGTGTACGGATGCACTTGGGTTGGCTGGCGGATGGTGTCCGGTGGTGTACGCCACCTTGCCTGCCAAAATATTTAAACCTCCATTGACTCGCCGAGCTTCGGATCTCGGGGTTCGGGGAGTAAGCGCTCGGTGGTAAAGACGAACTGCATCTATTCTGCCTCTGCAAGTGGATTACAAACATAATGTATCACTGTGCATGTACAAAGGAATCATTATCGGGGTCCCGATTGGGGCCCCTCCCTCTCCGGCCCCTCCAGGCCCAAGTAGCCCTCGATCTCCCTGTGCATGGTGCAGCGGGATCATCACCTCCGCAAGCGGTCCACAATAGCCCTTGACAGGTCACAAAGACGCTTCCGCAGATCGGCTTCCAGCGTGTTCACCAGGCCGGGCGAGAAAGGTTTTAAAAATGCATGGATGCCTCCTGCAAGGGGGCCGGTCATGTGCAGCGAGGGGTCACAGGTGTCCGGCGGCTCCTCCCCGGCCGTTTCCGAAATGCGGCGCAGCCGCTGTGCCAGCAGATCAACGGATGCCTGGACGCCTGCGAGCTTGGAGAGGATGCGCTGCACGGCAATGCGCTGTTCATCCTCGCACGCGCAGTCGGTGGAGGAGGGGGGGCCCTGCAGGACGGGCTCGAGTGGGTCCTCGCCTGAGGCAGCCCCCGTGGCCGCGGTGTACCAGGCAATGACCCGGAAAACTACGAGAGACAGGGTGATCAGAAGGTAGCTGTCGTTGGTACAGTTGCATTGCAGAATTCTGCGGACGGTCTCGCTGGTCTGCTCGTTTTGGGCGAGAACGCGTTCGAAATCGGGCAGCGTGGGCGTGGTGGTGGCCCCCGGATCGTTGCCGCACCCCGGATTGCCTGGGGAGAGATCGGCTAGCAGCGCAAGAGCACGAGCCAAGCATTGGCAGGCGGCCGAGGTTGGCCGGCTGATCGTCGGTGCGGCATCGATGTGAGGTCGCACTGCAGATGTGGGAGATGTCGGGTGCGTGATGAGCTCCGGTGCAGGGAATGGGCACGTGCGGGTGTCGTCGAGGGTGAAGTCAAAGAAGGTGGCTGCATCGTCTTGCGGCTCTAGAGGAAGTGCTACTGCCGAGGCGAAGAGCTCGTCCAAATCTGGGAAAGAACTCGCGGGGAGTGATGATAGGCAGTTCTCGTCGAGCGATCTCAGGGCTCCGAAGATGTCGGGATACGGCGAGCATTGTCTCTGGAGACCGAGTGACGGGGAGAGCCCACCACCATCCGGGGTAGACGGACTGGTGGTGTCGCTTGCCTGTGCTGAGGTGAATGTCGGACTCGGTGACGCTGTGGCGGTCATGGTCGCTGTCATCGTCAACGCCGAGTCCCTTCGTGCCCTGGTGTGAGTTTTGCCCGATGTACGACCTGCACGCTTTGCAGTGCTATACACGCAGGGGTGATCTCGTTTGGCACACCGAGCACAGCTCGGCTTTTCTTTGGTGCATCCGACTTTGGTCGCCGCGCACAAATCACAGGATTTGCGCAGTTTGGACGAGGCTCGTGAAGATGCGGTCGGCAGTGGTGAAGCCATAGTATGGACTGGCAAGAGGGCAGGGTGATTCAATCGCCGAACGGGAAGTAGAGAATGCGATGAGGGCGTGGTCCCATCTTCTTAATGCTGCGCAATTTCCAGCTCTAGCGGACTGCAAGCTATGGTGGTATGGTGGCCACAACTTCCCAATCACGAGCTGTGGCTTATGTCGATCCTATTCATACCAGATTAGACCAGTTTCCTGATTTATCAGGCGCAAAAACAGGAGTACCCAGGAGGCATGATGCTTCCCCTCTGTCGGAGTCACTACGAAAGCAGTCGACTTGATTGGTGTCCATTCATCGATAAAAGCCCTAGTCAAGTAGCACCACTCACTCATAGACTAGCTGGGTATAGGTAGGTAGTTCCAAAGACAATAGCGATGGCGAAGCTCCAGCCAATGATCGGCGAATGTGACGTGCTGCCGATAATCAATCGGTTCCCTGATCTTATGCTGGCTTCCTATTGCAGGAGTCCCCGATATTAAGGCTTACCGCGCTTGGACCTGTTGATAAGCTCTATTTGAATTGATGCTGACGTGAGATCTTCGCCACTTATGATTAGCCTGAATGTAAGGGAGCAAGGATCAGCGGAGATGGCGTGGGTTTCTGGCCCCAGTAGGATTCTGTCCCCATATTACCCCCAATCAGTTCCAAGGCTCAGATGCAGGATCGACACCACCCCGAGTGGTTCTGCATGGTAGCAGGCAGCGACTCTAGACCCTCTAGGCGCCGGTGGGGTACGGAGTAATCTTCTCATAAACACCCCGGTCCCAGCGTGCACAGCTTGGAAGACTCCCCCCATCGTGCCCTTTCGCCATGATTTTTCATGCCAAAAAGAAGCAAACACCCCGTGGAGACTGCTTTGCTTTTTTGTATGCCGGGATACGTTCTGGGGATAAGGCAGAAAATGCTTGGTTCGCACCAAGTCTCGTTCATGCATTGGGCGGAGAAACCCGAAGAGTGGAAAAGAAAGCGCAATTGTTCAGTCATGCACACCACATTTTAGTGCTGACGGACCCTGACGGCGCGTTCCATCTAGCGTTGCAGCGCGTATCGCAGCTTTGCCTGTTTCTTATCCAGCTCCTGCGGATAGAATGTCCGACCGGGGCATTCTCCAACAATCTCCGGGGATTCTAACTCCCGAGGCTAGGAATGAAGGCAGATACTCTGCAGTCCTGCAGGAAACAGCGCCACTTCACAGCTGTGAATATCCTCTGCAGCCCAGAAAACCCTGCCTTTGGCGTGTGGCCCCCTGTCATCCTGCCTCGAGCTCATTACAGCATCTGGCCAAATACGTTCTTCACGAGCCTGCATGGTCCGAAGGATTTTCCATCTTGCTGCAAGCGGGGCATCGTGGCCACCATACGCATAAAGCTGTGAGTCTGGATTTGACGAGCGACCTTCAGCTCATTCCTGTCCAACCTCCCATGACATGGCGTACCTAGCTCAGTTGGAGGCAGCCTCGAGTAATCTTTCGGCGGCACTGGAGGAGCTTGCCTCGCATTACAGAAATGGCGGGATAGACAGTCTAGGTGCTCGACCACCACAGCTGCTACCCACAGAAGCACCTCCAGAGGTCCACAAGGCAAGAGAGTCGGCGTTGGCAAGTCTGACCAGATTGCAAGTCATGCTGGCTGGGCCAACGGATTTGCTGCAGAATCTGGCAGGCCAGGTAGTTGCCATTTTTCTCCTCACTGAGATACTGACTAACCAAACGATAGGTGCAATTGCTGGCCTGTATACAATGGCTTGGCGACAGTCAAGTTCCAGCTTGTATTCCGTTGGACGGCACAGCCTTGATCAAGGATGTTTCCAGTCTTATCGGGGTTCCAGAAAGCCAGCTCAGTCGGGTTATCCGAATGGCCACAACCGGGGGATTCCTCCAGGAACCTCAACCAGGCCATGTGTCCCACAGCGAGGTATCCGCGGCCTTTGTGACAAGACCGTCGTATCTCGACGCAGCCATGTTTTTGGCTGAAACGGCTGCCCCTGCCGCGTTGACCAAAGAGACTGGTATAAAACAGAATTCCGACTCCGATGGGCGAAAGGATGAGAGCCCTGGTCTGTCTTCCTTCGCCGCTGCCCGCGAAGCCCAATTGCCCCGCCTACAGCGGCAATGGCAAGCCTACCTGCGATATGGAACGGGCCATGTGTGCGACACGGCGACCGATGTCTTGACCTGTCTAGAGGGAATCCGCATGGCCAATGAGTCTGCCGTGGTTGAGGTAATCACTCCCCCTCCATCACCCACCCGAAGCCCGCGTCCATGTCGCTGATCTAAGTCTGAGTGCAGGTCGGCGCACGATCCACAGAACGAGCCATCGCTCTCGCAACCCAATATCCATCGCTCCGCTTTACAGTCCAGCTCCAATCCTCCAGACATGACCGACTGCGGACATCGAATCCCAGGATAACCATCGCCCACCGACAGCCAGGATCACCACAACCCATTCTCAACGCCGCACTCTACATCCTCAATTTCCCCATCCCCGTGCCAGGATCATCACCTGCCTTGGTGGCGACGCACCTCTCGGTTGAGCTTCGCGCACATCTACCTGCGTTGCGGCTGAACCGTTCGGCTACCTTGGTCGTCATTGCTCCCTCGACGTCCGATTCAGATGAAGGGATAAGGCTGACTCGGATCCGCGATCTGTCCCTACTACAATTGGCCAGGCAACGCGAGTTGGGGTTGTCCGAAGTGATCAACCTGCTGAACGGAGTCAGTGACGGAGAAGGAAGACTGGTGCTGGTGAATCAGGTGCGATCTGTGGGAAAGTATGGGGTGACGGCGTTGGAGGTGAAGTATCAGCCTCATGAATTGGTGCGATAGGAACTTCTGAGTGTAGCCTTATGGAAGGGAATGGAAAGCATTCGTCTCAAATCTACGAAATGTGCCAGTGTCTCTCAACGCTCCTTCCATGCTTGATCAGACTACCGCGGTTGGAAAAGACCCAATCCTACGAACTAAAGCTCCATTACTACTAGTGTCCAGCTATTCCAGATGAGCGATACCTACCTAGATTCATCCAATGCTATGTCTCTGGGGTGTAAGCACACAACCAAGGTTCTTGACCTCTTCCTTGGCACATCCGGAGCCAGAGTGACCGCATTTTTATTTCCTCTTTTTTTTTTTTTCATATTCTAGTTCCATCCAGTTCAGGCTTCGAAAGGCAATGATCTGTAAATAGAAACGGGGGATTTGCCGAGGTGCGAGGAGCGCAGATATTGCAAGGGAGCTGCAGGAAGTCGAGAATTGGCTTCAGCGCTGCCCACCAGTCACAACGCAACCGGAGAAAGCTGTGACTAACTGAAATCACGCTAGTTATGCATCAATGGGGAGGGGGGGGGGGCCCAGCATTTCCGGCCCGGGCTTAGACACCAATTACTTTCTGCTTTCTGTGGCCTCAGGGCTCCTGTCTCCACTCCGCGTACTTTTTGTTGTGTGGTTGGGTTGGCGCGCCCGTGGGATCGGAGTTTGGGGTCGGTGCCGAGCGGGGGCACACGCCACCGAGTCGCCTGGGCAAACATGCTTGATTTCTTCAGTCTGCCCCTCACACCAGGCGGCGAAGGCGTGGCCACCTCGGGCCCTATACCTTGGAATAGGACTCCCGCATGACTGGCCAGCTGCTAAAAGCTACTCCGCGCCCTGTCCCCGCACGTAAAGCTATCTTAGGAGTAGACCTGGAATGTGGCAGTCGGACCAGGAGAGATGAAAGATAGTCAGTTATCTCCGTGGGCGCCACCGGACTCGGGCTCGAATTGATCTCCGCTGCGCCTCTGCGGGGGACCTCATTTCTCAGTCGGGGTTGATTGTACGGCGCAGTTCATGCCGCGATAAGCAATCGGTCCCATTCACGAGTCTCGGCATCCGTATATTGAGGAACACTCAGGATAGGTTGTCGTTCGCAGACCTCTAGAGTTAGGGATAGAGTAAATCTGGCAGGAAATGATGGAATGTGACGACACCTTTGGTGGGCTCGCCAGGTAGCTCTCTCAACTCAGGCTCTCCACCGAGAAGCATCGGGTACTTTGATGATGTGAAGGCTCAAATCAGGATCTAGCCCTAAGTCGTGAGCCATCACCCGCTGCCACTGTTAGATAACGAGACTAAATTGATGACTTGACCCGACTTCGTATTCAGGAGGGTGTGAAGCATTCCATGCACACTGTTTGTTTGACTACTCGAAGTGCGTAGGCACCGCCGATATTTCACCACCGCGAGACTATGATGCCGACCTTACGTGTCTCAGGGCATGACTTACGAAAACCCCCGAATGAAGATCGGATCACCCGACCCACCCAACGAATATCTTCAGTATTCAACAGATAGCCCCTCAGAACCAGCCCGTACGAGACAAAGCAGCCTTGTCCGCGGGCATTCCCACTCTAGCGTTACTTGCAGCTGAAGTCGGAAGAGTCAAGATGTTTAGATCACCCCAAAACACAGTATACCCCTGTGAATCCGAAATACTACTCCTCAATTCAGGCTGAGTGGGCTGGTACCTTTCAGTCAATAAAATGTATGACCTTGCCCGAACGGCGATGCCCTGATAGGGAAAGTGAGAGCTTGATGCTATCTGATCATGAAAAATCGTCCAACGCCACGGTCCTGTTTGGGATTGGATGATTGGCTGTTCATGCGGTCTTAGATTAAATGGGATACCAAAAATATGCGACGTCATTGACAGACAGCTGGAAGGCGTGGTCTAGAACATCATGCTTCTATGAAATAAGCTGCTGACGATTGACCGGGCCGAATCAGTGCGCGCAGCACGGTTGTCGACGGGGCATCAAATGACGATTACGCGCCTAGTCACCTGACCGGCTAGGATTCCTAACAATTCATATCGCTGTTTGAATACTGGACTTGAAGTTTTCTAGCTGGCAATCTCCTATACCCGCATCTATACCATTGTATATCTTGCCCGCTTTGAAATATCATTTCTTCATCCAATCACACAAGGACTCGGCTATATTTGGATATGATTCTTCTCACGTAACTCTTGAATTCGATCTCAGGCCCACACCTCCACTAATCAGCGCCCGTCGTGGGCTCTAGTGCACCGGATAGATTATCCTGGAGCGGACTTTGGACGGGCCGCAGGGGGGTCTGTGAGGGGGAGGTTTCCGATGGGGCCCCTCTCTCGAAACTAAAATCTGACAGGCAGAAAGCAACTAGGGTATGGATCCACCGCTGCGGTCTCCTCCGAGGTGGTGCTCCAATCACCTTTCGATCACAGGCGTCGAAATTGCGTAATTAATTGAAGAACAAGGGACTGCTTTTGGCTGCAGATGGAGAATATGAGCCCGGGTAAAGTGTGATGAAAGACGGACAGAAGCCGCGCTCACATGCTTGCGGGCCATGTTTTCCCAGTGGATTCTCATCGTCACAGCATGTTGGGGAGTTGCCGTCGATAAGAGGGGACATGCTTCCTATCGAGCTGGTAGCGTTATGCACGCCCTATCTCTTCGCGATATTTGTGGGCGTCTAGCATCTGAGTGCAACAAACACATCCTATCTGGTCTATCGCTCAAAGCACAAGCCAGACACAGTGCACGAAGAAGTGATGGGCCATGCCGCAACTCGCAGCTGGGACACAATTGTCCCTCACTAGAGTGGCTTGTGGAGTTTCGCCGTCGACTGCATCCTAAACACCCCGGTTACCACTTTTCTGCAGGTTCAAACAAATTACCAATGTATTGTACGAGGCATGTATCTGCACAGCGCTCGGTGTAGAGATAAGAAATCCGCGTATTGTGCCATACCTGTGTCCGCGGGAGTTCGCTACTTGGTGTCTTCGCAGCGTTGACCTTCACTTGTGTATTGATGTTATGCTTCTTGACACTGCGGTGCTCCTGTTCGAAGGGGAAGGATGACAGAGTGTTTACTACACTTCACTGGCAGAGTAATGTATCGCTGTAACGTTTTGCCAACAGATTGCGGACCTCTGCTTCCCCCCCCCCCAAACAAGGGCGAATATCCCACCTTCTACCGCCTTGGGAGAGACTATCAGTTGCACCGCGGGACAATACACTGCTTTAGTAAGAAAAATGAGTGAAGTCAACCTTGGAAATTCAATCCGAAGAATCACGTATATTAAACACAGTCTCCTTCACCAAGCTAGCCGGGGACTCCTACTCCGCACCGCTCCCAGGAATTCCGGACGGATCGTGCCGATCCAGGTGACGATAATGACCAGCGATTCGCATGGCCCGACCCACCCACTGGGCCTCACCAAAGCCCGAGGCTCTCAAGTCGGGTCGACCCCCAACCCATTTCCTAGCAGGTCTTGGTTGAATTTTTTGAATTGTGGATTGTATTTGTACTTAGATTTATAATCTATGATTTCCTAGTGGATATTCGCAGATAAATAAGGATATAGAGACTAGAAGCTCCAATAGATTATAAAGTCGACGTTGCATGTGACAATATAACGTCAGTATCCAAAATGACTGATTATTCAAGATATTCCAACCATGTTACAGGAATAATAAAAACAACAAATATACTAAAGCTAGCTTTCTAGAATCTAGATCTTACAGAGGACAAGCAGTGGAATTTGATAAGAAAAAGATATATGAATTTGATCAAAAGCTTTAGCTCAGTCCTATAGAGGTTTTCATTATTATTTGTCTAGGTTCAAGTCATTGAAACTTTGAAATTTTGTTACATATGTATACTACTTTTCATCGACTATATACGTAAACATGACTAGCCGAGAGTACTGGCATTTATATAACAGCGTAGATAACTAACTTGACGATAGAGGTCTTCTGACTGGCCACTCTCCCGTATCAATTCAGTCTGGTGGAAGGGATCTCACGTGTCTGGATCCATTTATCATTTTATCTCTCCTCCGACATCTAAGACTGTAGACCCAACCTCAAAATCATAGATGAATCCCTTTGAGGTGTCCAACTCCCTAGCCGACTGACCACATGCCACGCGAATGTCCGGATCAGCCCGGAGTTAAATATGCTCGGCCCGTATGTGGCCACCAAGTTGGTTAGCGGGGCTGTGGTAGTAAGTCTCGATGTATATGTGGAGGCGAGTGCGGCCTTTGTCTTGTGCGTTGAAATGCTTCTTGATTTTGTGAGCGAGCAGAAAGTCGACGCAACCGCGGTACCGGTGGATGAAGGAAACGGCTAGGTGGAGCTGTGTCTACCCCTGGATATTGGGTCCGTGCTCCCTCGGCCATAAAGGAACCAAGCCATGGAAGATTCTTCGTGTCGTGGCAGAGTATGGTGGAGGAGGCACCGTCTGCTCCGATCGAGACTATTCAGGTTAACGCCCTTTTGTTTGCAGAAGTATAACAGACGCAGAAAAACTACATCGACTTCGATCTTTTTCTCATAGATACTACTCTGCCAGTATTAGCTATATAGAATGCAGTTGTTCCGTCCGCGGTGCGGTAAATTTCCAGCTTATTCGCAAATCTTTCGGCTAGGAATCAGAACAGCCCGGTCACCTCGCCGTAGCAACCTTTACAGGTCCGGTGCAGCGGCAGCCACCCGTTCTGATTAATGGCGAGAGAGTTTCCTCCGTGGGATCACTGAGAATTGAACTGTCTTCAGACGCCCATTGCATACACAGCGATAAAGCGGGGTCCTGCCCGACCAGTTCCATGTAGGTGGGATCAGAAGGGGCGTACCGGGAGCCGTGAGCAGATTTACAGAATATACAGAAGCAAGAAGAGCAGCGATGGCAGGCAGGTTGCCTACCCGGGTCCATTCTATAATTTCATGAATAGTTAGTATCTAACAAATTGCAATGTCTTTAAGGAGATTGGCTATGTATAAATCCCAAGAATAAGTTATTGCCCTCCAGATGAATCAATATCAACAGGTTTAACCACTGGTCCTTGTAGTGAAGTCCAACCACACTATCACCCGGACAGGTCCCATAGCTGCACTCACCGATACGGACTGCCGTGGACCTAGATCTAGCACTGCCTTACTGGATATCTGCCTTTTCTGCACGGTTTGTAGGTTTTTGGCAAGTTCCGAAGCCGCGAGGACTTTCACCGGCGTCACCGGAACCACGGACCCGTCTAGCATAAGCTGTGATAGTTGCCGAAGAAGCTGCCGAACGATCGCGGGTTTTTGGCCATGGAGTTTGGTTAAGTCCACGGCAGCAAGGGTGATACACCGGGACGCGGCGTCTCGGAGGAGACGGGGATGGTCAGGCGGCCGAGTGTTGGAAAGGTCTAAGCTGACCAGCGTGCCAAACGGTGCCAAGGCATCCAGCGATCCTTCCAACTCCTGCCTGTCGAAATTCAAGACCAGATCCACCCCTCCTTCTGAGATAGCCTGCCAGATGCCATTGACTATCTCGAGGCCACCCTGGTGCTCGGAAAGGATGAACTCCGGTGAAAGGTTGTATTTTGCTCGCAAGATCTCCCGCTTCTCCTGGCTATGCTCTGTGACGAGGATTTAGCGCTCATGAGCTGAGCAAGCTGGTTAGCCAGCTGACCGACCGCGTTGGCTGCATGGCGCACAAGAACGGAGTCATCGGTCGAGATGCGTTCCAGAGTGCGTAGAGCATAAAGGGCCATCAATCCCGCCGTCGGGAGTGCGGCCGCCTCCACGAAAGAGATCTGCGGCAGCAAGGGAGCCACAAACGCCACCGGCAGGCGCAGGAACGTGCGGCAGCAGGCGGGATATCGCAGGAAGACGCGGTCGCCGGCCTGGAACCCACTGCGCGAGCCCGCCTGCAGGACCTCCCCGGCACCCTCGGAGAAGATCCCGGTCTCGTCGTCGTCGTCGTCGCCCAGGGCCTGCCCCGAGGCAATGAGATAGTCGGCGTGACCGACCCCCACCGCGTGCACGTGCACGAGAGTCTACGACTCGTCCAGATCGCCACGCTGAGGCGTTTCCTCCACCTCTTCAGCATTGAGCTGAACCAAGGGGACTGGATGTATATCCCGAAGGATAAGCGCTACTCCCTCAGAGTCGGGCCTCTCGAAGCAAGCATGTGCTACTCCTATCATTGCTGCCGCGCAGGCCGCGCATTGAACCCCACAAACCGATTGGCGATGTATCATTCATGCGCGTTCGCCGTTTCATGCAGTAACAACCTGCGGTCGGTGACACAGTCGACTTCTTGGTACCGTTTGCTGTGAATCTCCTCATAGCAGTAGCCGAAACCGAATGACACGTTCCACAGTTCCACGGCAAATCTCAGTAACCACGTCAATCCATGCCTATTTCAGGTGCGAAGCTTACTATCTTTACCTGGAAAAGAAACATCAGCAAATTCAAGGTCAATGGACTCGGACGTTCCATATAGCGTCTAGGGCGGTACTGTTTGAACGGATTCCACTGGCAATCCGCTATTACAATTCATGGCATTTCGAGAAGCTACTAAGAGCACTGATAGTCGTCTCTTTGTCTTGAGGCCGGGGTGTAGTTCAGTCCTGCCGCTTAGGTAAAATCCAAAAAATGTTAACCTTTGCACCGTTTTGCCATCATCTGTTCTTTTTTATAAACTGGACTTCGGTCTGCAACGCGTTGTTGAATGACATCAATGATTGTACTAGCCCATCTTCATTCACCAGCGTGACTGGGATTGTTATTTAGGTTCTCGAATCGATTCGGCTGAGCCAAGGGGTCCGAAGACCCGACCTCGGAGGCTCATGTGGGTCGGGTCAACTAAGGTGATCCGCATCGGGTCTTCCTGTTCATTGAAGTATTTTAGCACTTAGTTTTGCACATTAGACATGTGTTGTAGATCCTGATCAAGATTCGATAGTCCAAATAGAAAGTGATATTTAATACATAAAGATTCCTGGGAGGATTAAATCAAGAAATGTGATATGAAATATCGACCTTAGCGACCGAAATATCACTCGAACTAGTCGTAAGCTAGGCGGGAGGGGCTGGGGCTTACCGCAGTGGAGACGAGCACGGAGGGATAAACATGGGAGATGGCTTGGGAGCGTAATGCTCCTTCCAGCCGCACAAGCCAAGGAGGCTAAGATTGGAGGTTGCGTTGCATTAGTCCTGGCCCCCATAAACCCATCCACTTGGTTTCTTTGTCTGTTGACCCATAGAATCCAGCAACTACCCCACATATCCTTTAGTTAAGCGACCAGGCCAGCCGATGCACCAACAAGAGATTCAATGTGAACCCCAACCAACTAACTAATAAGCACTTAACAAATTAGCGTCCATTAAGGAGCATATCCATAATCGCACCATCCCCTGACCCCTGTACAGTCCTCCATATAAAGCAACCGCTCAGGCAACAGGCAACCACCCATTCCTCCCCTCAAACGCTCCCTCCCCTCTCATTTCCCCCATAGCCTCCCACCCCTCTTACCCCCCAAAAATGCCCACTCAACCCACCATTGTCCTCGTTCACGGCGCCTGGCACACTCCGGCCAACTACGCCCCTTTCATCGCCGCCCTCGAGTCGCGGGGCTTCACCGTCCACTGCCCCCACCTGCCCAGCTGCACCAACACCTCCCCACCACCGGCCACCTACCAAGACGACGTGGCCACCGTCCGCAACCTGGTCACCACCCTCGTCAACAACGGCGAGCGCGTCCTCATGATCCTGCACTCCTACGGCGGCGCCATCGGCACCGACGCCGCCCAAGGCCTGGACTGGCCCTCGCGCGCAGCAGCCGGCCAACCAGGCGGGATCATCCACCTCCTCTACCTCTGCGCCTACATCCAACGCCCCGGCCGCACCGTCTGGGACGTGATCACCGAGGCCCAGATGACGGGCTTCTGGCCGCAGTTTGTTCGGGACCACGAGGACGGCTCCACCTTCCCCGTCGACCCCGTCCAGCTGTTCCTTGGGGACTGCGACGAGCAGCAAGTGGCCGCCGCGCTGCCGCATCTCGTGCGCAGTCCGCTGAGCGCCTTCCATACGCAGAGCATCGGGGATGCGTGGCGGAGATTACCGGTGACCTACCTCACCACGACCAAGGATTATTCCGTGCCCCGCGTGTACCAGGATATCATGCTGAAGCATGTCGCGGAGGACGGGGTGACGGTCCGCGTGGTGGAGGTGGATACCGCGCACAGTGTGTTTTTGTCGAGGCGCGACGAGGTGCTGCGGTTGGTGGAGGAGGCGGGGCGGGATGAGCGGAATCCTTGATTATGCGGTGGTCACTTTTGCGTTGGATGGTGTTAATTGCAAGTTGAGTTTTTAGGGTTGGGGTACGGTTCTTGTCTTGTTGGGGGATACGGCGGGTGGCAGCAAAGGAACGGGGGTCTAGAGATATAGATGATCAACGCCCTACAGTGGGACGCAATGGATGCGGTAACCAGCACTCCATTATGCTTGATATGCCGCTCTGAGTATTGAACAATATAAAGATCTAAATCTTCAACAATCCCCAAAGGGTGTTGGATTGATAAGCCACCTGTGGAACAATCACTAGCATTTTTAGCATCTATATCCAGTCTAATAACCTAGATTTAGAAACTATATCAACTCCATGCGACCCACCTATCATAATCCCCTCCCACGAATACATTTATTCGCCTGTAAATACTCATCACAGTTTCTGCAGAGCCCATCAATCGGTTTACATATAGTCAGTCATAACACCATAACTCTCAAGACGAGAACCCTCTTCTACCTTCCTTTGCTCAAGCAATCGTCTCTATCGCTGCGGCAAAGCGCCCACGTTCAAATCGATATGTCCAGCTACATTCCACTGTCAATGAACAGCGACTCGAAAGAAGAACCCCCTTCCTTGTCCCTGCCCCTGCCCCGCCGGTTGGAGTCTCACCTCCCTTAGAACCGCTAGGCCCGTTGGACACTGGACAAGCAGTCTTCCCCATCCGCGTTGACGAATCCTCCGTATAGCATACACGAGCGCCCTCCGCACACGAGCCCGTTCGTGTTCGATGTTCTCCTTCCCCTTGCAGGGCCTGGGAGGAGGTCCTCGGAAAAAGTACCACTGGTGGTGGGAACCCCCCGGCCACTTTCCCGCCTATCTCGCAATGAACGCAGTCCTTACCTGGTGTTTTATCTTGTTTCTCTCTATACCAGAATAAAGGAAGCGAAACGCCTTATGGTTGGGATGGATCTCGAATCCATCCAGCCTGAACCCCGGGTCCAAGCAAGCACGACGGCCACCGCGTGCATGGTAGCTCGAGAATGATATGCTTTATTCATGGATTTGTACGGTAGCTTCTTCCATTCTTCCAAACGAATCCGAAGATCGGAGGCGATCTTCTTATACAATCAGGGGCAGATCTCAACCCCTACCACTCTCTGCCAATGAAAACATTGTTTCATTATCAACAGCCTAGACCAGAACAAACACATACCAAAAAGTAACTATCCATCCAAGGAGAAGATTACCTCACGGCGCGTGATGCAGACCCCCTAGGCGAACACCATTCCGACCCCCAAGTACTGTACAGTATAAAAGCACCACGCGTACACGTCCGCACACCGACTACCTACCCTACTAATTCCATCCCAACCCTATGCTTACCGAGCCACAACCTTCCCACCATCACTTTCAATACTCTTTTTAAAAAAAACCATGAACACGATCCCGGATACCATACGAGAACCCATTGGCAGTCAGTATCTCCAATCCGGAAGGAAAATCGATAGGATGGATTGTAGTCTGCACTACCCAAACCCGGATAAATTCTTACAGTTTATGCACATCTCCCCGCGGAGTTATTCCTTCGCTGCACAGTTGTCTCCTGCTTTTGAGCACCGGTCTTCCCAGCCCTTTTTTGGCATGTATGGATTACTGACGATGGTTCAAATGTGTCAGCCCCGAAGAGATGAGGGCTGAGGTTGTGGGACTGGTCTGTCAAGCCGGCGATGGCTCTCGTGGGTATCCTAGGAATTAAACTCACTCGCGATGAATCATTTCTTCCTGTTACTACTATGCGGGGCAGGAGTATCATGATCGACCGTTTTCCTCGGTCTCGACTTTCAGGCAAAAGTATCCTCTATACCCAAACTCTTTATTAATAGATCTAGATCCATCACTCTGGTCAAAAATACCATGTCTCCTTTAATTCAAATCCCAGCATTGAGGCTACCGAATGCAACAGAGCGTCAGTCACACCATCTCGCAATTATAATCACTAACACATAAGAATCACTTACCACGTTTGGAATCACAACGGTGGTCCCATCCGTCACCTGCGTTCTAACCAACTGCCGCCCATCCGTGGCGGCCGGCACGAATGGATTAGGGTTGATGACCGGTCTGCCCGCGGTGCCCCCTGTGCACGGCACCACATCGCCCAGCGCCGCCCGCGGGATTCCGTCTGTCAGCCCGGCATCCAGCTTATACTGGTTGGCTGTGTTCTGTAGGTACGTCTTGATCGCTTGGGACATGCTTCCTAGCCCGTTGGCCATGAACTGCGCCCGCAGGTCCGGCTGGGACAGATAGTAGGCGACCATCCCGGCCGTGATGGCGGTCGCCTGGGAGGTGCCCGCCGGCTCGACCGCGTAGACATTCAGCTGCGAGGTGTCCACCCCTTGGTCATTGTATCCCACAGTCGCACAGTCGACGTTGGTGCCGATATTGTAAAGGGTGAGAATGCCGCGCTGCTCTTCGTCCCGAAACTGCGAGTTCGGATTGCGACTGTTATCGAACAGAGCGTTTCCGACGACGATCAGGGGCGTGTCGGCGCCGCCCTTGCCCCGGGGGTACAGGTAGTTGAGATCCAATTGCGCAGGCTCACGTTGCTGGGTTGCATCGTTCCCCGCGCTGCAGATCACCGCAACACCGAGGTCATAGAACCACTGCAGGTATTTGTCGAAGACGTCCCGATACGGCTCGTCAAGCGGATTGAGACTTCCGCCCCAGAGGAATGCCTGCCGAGGACCGCCTTTTTCATGAGGTTTAGGTTAGCAGGGAGAAGAAGGGTAGAAATAAGATACATGAGAGGGAAAGGCAGACTTGCCGAAAGACATGGAGATGACGGCGTTGCCCTGGGCGCCATTGTTCACAATATGCCGGTAAATCTCATGGAAGACAAAGGCCGCCCGGCGGGCGCGCATTTCCAGTATCACCCCAGATTTGGATATCACCAGCTCGACGGCGACGAGCCGGGCAGTTTTGCCCATCGAGTGATACGCCCCTGTCGCGAGGGAGGCCATACATGTTCCGTGGCCATTCCGGGGTACGATCGTTAGCCCCGTCTTCCGAGTGCCTACGTCGTCCACGCCGAAGCTGTCATATAGCCGGTCGGCAAAGGACTTGATAGGGCAATGTCAGCATATACCGCAGGCTCCGGACATAGCTGTGTGGCTCTCAACTTACCCCATGCCCAGCCAGGAAGGCGGAGTCAATGACATAGACAATGGGCGCGCCGTTGGCGTTCGCATTCGAGGGATCATTGTAAATCAAGTCGTCGAAGCTCAGGTAGTTCCCATACAGGTTACTGTACCGTGATACCTGAGAAAGCCATTGGAGATGGCCGGGGCTTTGCTGTTGGAGATAGAAGCGACTGTTGGCCGTCGGCTCGATGCGTGCCTGAAGGTGCGGCGGCCTTTCTGTGGCGTTCAGGTTGTTGTCGTTCAACCACAGCTCGTCAAGAGGATTATTCATGGAGCCAGGATGTCTGGACCCCGCTGGGGTGGACCTCTTCTTCGCTGATACTGCGTCATCCAGGGTATCGTCGTTGCTATCCAGGTCAATTTCTCCATCAACACTCCAGGCGTCAACGATTGGATTGCTATTGAACTTTCCGGCGGTGCATTGATCGACGATTCCCATGTAGACGAACTATAGTCACAATGCCTTGGTAAGTACGAGCCGTGGTAGGTGGGGAGTTCGAAGCGAAAAGCTTACGTTCGGCTGCCACGACTCGGTGAATTGAAGAGCCTCGGGATCTTTTGGCAGGGTTGCGACGAAGTCTTGCAACTCCTGAACAGTGGTTCCTTCCACCGTCATGATAATGACCGGGCTCGTGGTAGCTGTGGCGGCACAGGAGGTGGAAGAGGTGGAAGAGGATGTGGTGGAAGTCGCCGTGGTCATCATGGTGGTGGTGGGCATGATGGTCGGTGTCGCGACGGGTGGCGATCCGTTACTTTCGAACCACGCGGCCAGAGTTGCCATGACGAGGACTATGCATTACATAAATGAGTACCAGGTCCTGAACGGCGGTTCTGACACGAAGGCTTACAGATTCCAGTTGCCGAGGCAGCCGCAGAGACAGGGAGTCCGATAGCATTGATCTGTCAAGGTTAGGTCAACATGTTCGTCTTTTGGGGGGGAATCACGCAAACAGACCGTTATCCTAAGTTGAGAGATACTCGCTGCGGCGTCGATGGCCGGGGCAACGCCAGCAGCAATGGCGTCAGAGAGCTCGATGAGATTGGCATTGAGATCACGGATCACCTCGATCATTTGGCTCTGGAGGGCATCCACTAGTATCCAAAATCGTGAGAATCCTAGCCATGGTCATGAAATAATCGACCATACCTGCATTATCCCACTCCTCAAACGCATCTTCCGACACGCGCGGATCGTCTTCGTCAATGGTATCCAGGCGCCGTCCCAACGTCAGCAACCTGTCACCGTTCGCCTTCGCGGCCGACAGACTACTCGACGCCGCATTCGCGTCGCTCTGATCCCCCATCATCTGCAGCTCAATCTCCTCATACTCAATCTGATCCGCACGCTTCACCTTGGCCGAAGAAGACTGCAGCAGACCCTGCAGCGTCTCCAGATGGTTCTGGTATGATTCGAGCACGTGCAGCGCCTGCCAGACACTCGCGTTGTACTGGTGAATGGCGTCTGCCAGCTCCGCGTAGGTGGGATCCTCCCAGGTTCGATCAGCGTAGATCTGCACGCGGTTTCCCCCGCCGCAGGTCTCGCCCGCGTTGCCGGAACAGGGCATGTTGCAGTCGGTGTCCGAGTAGGCTGTTCCGTCGTGGATGGTGTTTCCGACGAAACATTGTCTAGAAGGTTATCGTTAGTCTGTCTACGATATAATGGATGCGGTTGAGGGGAGGAGAAAGAAAGGGACCGTACCTGCTATATTCGACACCCGCGTATCGCCATGCACCGGCTTTGGCGAGGGATACGCAGGCCTCGACTGTCATGCCCGTGGCGTCCTCTTTCGAGTCGGCTACCAGGACACGGGGGCTCTCTTGGTCGGAGTAGCAGCCTAGGAAGGAGAAAGAATCCACTTGGGTTGGTTGGGTCGGGGTTGAAGAGGCAGATGAGGTGGTCGTGGTCGTGGTGGACTTCGATGTCGTCGAAGTGGAAGAGGTTGAAGAAGTGGTAGTGGTCGTCTTGGAGGTGGCAGAGGTGGAAGTAGTGGTCGTGGTAGACTTGCTAGTTGTAGTCGTGGTGCTTGTGGTGCCTTTCGTGGTAGTACTCGTCGTAGTGGTCGAGGAA